AGTGCAATGGAGAAAAAATTTCTCTATTTAACTATTGTGTAATCGAGTCATCATTTCTTGTGGAATCAACAATCCGGACTCGTTTGTTCACTTTATTACTTTTACACGGCCCGTGCGTTTGTAGTACATATTTCTTAACAAACAACAGGGCGACGTAATTTTTATAAGTTTAGTGGCCAAAATTCAACTACCTTAAAGTTCAATGAAGAATTGAAGACATTTTTCAAAGTTTAGTGAGTAATCGAAAACATAGCAATTTGTTATGGGGCGTCAATGTGCATTCCGTTAGTCACGTCACTAATTCCATTAAAAGTTTGAAATAGATGTCATACCAATAAGTTTCGTCCAATATTTGAATAAATTTAAGCCCCCGTTTGAATCACATTAAAATTTTCATTATCATTTTCTACTTATTTTCAAATACACATTTTTCAATAAAATAATATTTTCCACCACATCAATAACTTTTCCTTCTTTTTCAACCATACATTTTTCACAAATTTACTATTTCAAAATACATTCTTCCAAAATAACGTGGCTCAAATACAGCCAAAATGTGAAAACTCGATGTCTTAAACTTCAACAGTAATTGGAGATTTAGGGACCCTTGGGACATTTAACTCCATGTTTGGAATTTGATAGTAGGAAGAAGCTTGAACAAAAAGAAAAGAAAGGTCCGTTCAAATAAATCCTTCTTGCTCTCTACACTTACAACGCTTCCACTCTTCAGATCCTGAATCAGGTGCTCTCTCTCGCTCTCTGTATACGTGTTATTTTTCTTGATTCTCCCTAGTCCCTTGATAGCTATAATTTTATGATCGTCATCCTTTTTTTTTTGTTTTCCTTCTTCTTCTTCTTGTTATAGATTTTTAAATTTCAATTTAGGGAGCAGCGAACTGAACTAATTAAATGATAGGAAGGTAGAACACGATGTATGAGGGCGCTTGGGGTTTTTTTTTTTTTTTTAATTCTTTTTGAAGTATTTCCTAGTTTTAGATGAAAAGTTAATATATATATATTTTTATCTAAATTTGGTTGGAGCCCAAACAATGATGATATTGATATTAAATGCTGTTGGTTTAGATTGTTGTTTGAAAAATCTTTGCATCGTGTTTGTTGCCGTGGAATTGGGGTTCAAAGGAAAATGTTTCTATCCAGATCCTCAGCCCCAATTTGTTGCTGGAAAGATTAGGGCTGGTTCTTTGCTTAAATTTTAAAACCCACCGACGAAAAACCGAGAATTTATGTATTATAGGAAAAGAGATCTATAAGGTCAATTTAGAAATTGAAAATTTGGAACTTGGATGTGGGGGAAGACGTGTCAATAATTTGGGTGGGGGGAGCATGATTTCATTAATGTTTTATATAGAAAATTCAGTTGTCTTTAATGTTTATATAGAAAAGTTTGTCCTCATTTGTTTGCCCCTGCAATCGGCTATCTTTCTATGTGCCTCCTCGTGTATATTCTTACATGAAAGGATGTTTACCAAAATGATATGTTGCATTTGCATACATTGGTTTTGATTATGGTATCTGAACTTGTATTTTAATGCTTTTTCCAAAATCTATCCTCTTTACATTTTCTTATTATAATTTTCCGTTTTGGAAGTGCAGTCATTTACTGGGAGTCACCATAACTCCCACACCCCTGTAACTTAGTGCAGTGCTTTTCCTTGCCCGTTTTACTCAAGCAAACTGGTACAGTCTACCTCAAAAGAGTGTTTTGGGCACATGTTAGTATTATGGGCCTAAATAATCCAATTTCCAGCAGTAGCTAACTAATTTGAAGCTACGTTTTCTTTAGGCTCTATTTGAGTCCATTGTTTGGGAGAATAAATTTTGTAATAGTGAATTTTTTGAGAATGTGTGGTTAAAAGTGGAAATTTTTTTAGGTTTACGTACAAAATAATTTTATTGGAAAAATGTGTGGTCAAACATGCACTTAGGGTAAAAGTGTTTGTTGGATAGAATGGTTGAAATTTCTTTTGTTGCGTTTTGTTTTAGACAATTTGAAGGATAACTTTCTTGCATGTCTCTTTTACTTCCGGTAAAGTGACATGAGAACGTGACTCATATCAATAAGTACAGCTATTGTCTTTGGTGCCTCTGGATGGCCTATAATATATTTAGTTTTACATTTATATTTCTTGTGCTTCACTAATGAGATATGTGTTTACATAATTTATGTTATTTTAATTATTTTCGTCTGAAAAGTTGAAGTCATTAGTATTGATTCATGCAAGAGCTGTGTATAATTCATAGCTTATTTGAATATCTGAACGAAACTTTTTTCCCATTTTCCATGACTATATGTTTAAACTTTGACCTATTCTGTTACAGCCTATAATACACAGGTAAAATGTTCTTATTTTGTTAGATTTATATCTTGTTTTACTTACTATATTAAGGGACCTTCCCGTCCTCTCTTCCATCTCTTCTTTATGCTGAAAATGTAAGACTGGGGAACTATTTTTAATGATAAGGAGCCTCTTTCCTGCAAAATGATCTTTTAGTCAATATTTTTCATAACAAAGATCCAATTGAACTTACTGTAAGGCAGATCTACATTTTTTTTCGTTTTTCGAAATTACAATACCTAAAATTATTTGTCTTTGCTTAGTTTATTTGCTTGCAGCTTGCTTTTAGCTTATCAAAAAAAAAAAATTGACAAATTCTGAACCTGTTGTCTAAGAGATAATCTTACTGTCAGAATAAATGTTTCAATGAGTGAAAATAGTTCGCTATGCTGCTATGCCCATAGCAAGTAAGATTTAGACCTCTTGCTATAAACTATAATCACCTTTCATATGCTTTGTTGGAAGCGGTAAAAGATGTACTTGACTTCCATTAGCATTGACTTAGATTGACATTATTCTATTGTGTTCACTAATTGACCCATGTTTTTATTGCACATAACGTGCTTTCATTCCATGGAGCTAGGACCCATTCTGTGGGTCAATATGAAAACTGCCAATAATGATGGTCAACAAAATGTTTATGGATTCTGGTTCTCAAATAAATTGTTGTTCGAACTTTATCGATGATGATTATTCTGATTTCTGGCGTCCATCTTACTGCATGCCTTAAAGTTTACTTTCTCACTTTCTTTGGAATCTGAATGTTCATGGTCAATTTAGCTATGACGCGGATCTAATCATTGAAATATAATCACTTCAGAATAAAGAATGTCTCGAAGGTATGACAGTCGTACTACAATCTTCTCTCCTGAAGGTCGCCTCTATCAGGTAGAATATGCAATGGAGGCCATTGGGAATGCAGGGAGTGCCATAGGAATATTGTCCAAAGATGGGGTTGTGTTGGTTGGTGAAAAGAAAGTGACTTCCAAGCTTCTACAGACCTCGGCATCGACGGAGAAGATGTACAAGATTGATGATCATGTCGCATGTGCTGTGGCTGGAA